GCATATTGGAGTTTGTTCTGACTAGTATATTTATCCATAAGAATCTGTTTACTGTTTAGCATGCCCAATCCTGCCTTGTGATAATTGCATGCGTACTGTTTGCTCATTAGCATGTCCAAGCTACATTGCTTGTTTACTGATTCACCCAGCATGTCTTAATTCTGCTTGTTCTATTTGTGATTAGTATTTCCAAACTATGAATGTTTTCATGAAGTGCTTGCCTAGTTTGTTCATTTAAATCTTGCTTACTCTATTTCACTAATGAGATCCTGCTAAGTCATCTAGCCCTACAAAGTACTCTGATTGTGTGTTCAAGATCTATGTGTTCTCAACATGTCTTTGTTGTAACCTTTGTAATTAACTTGCAATTTCTTGAGAAGCTTGTGCATCTGTTTGCTTATACATTAGGGTGTATTTTATATGTCCCCAAATCCCTTTCTCCCTATATGTAGAGTCTGTTTGTCCAAAAGTGTTTTTGAAGTTGTTTGTTTTGTGACTTGCACTCTGATTTCAAAAATGTTCTTCATGTTTTTCTCAAACTGTTTTACCACTCAAACTAGTACTGGTTTCAGAGAATCTCTTCACTCCTAAGACTCTTCTTTATACTGTTTACCAAAAACTCTTTCAAATCATGTCAAGCACTCTCATTTATTCTTAGGTTATTAAGTTCTGCCCCTCCGGTATGTGTACTGCTTAGAGGTCCATGAGACCTATCTGAACTCTGGCATATCAGGGCTGGCACTTCCACACTGCACACAATCAGTCTTTATTTGAGAAAGTCTGGGTGTGAGCACTGCCCGGGATCCTTGAGATCCTTAGGGAACTCTGACACACCTGGACATGAATTGGGCTATGAAATCTTGGGCGTTTGAGACTAGTGAAGGCCTGGTACACCAGGATTTGCTTTGGGCCTACTTCAGGCTCCCTATAGCTTAATTTCTATTCTATTCATGTAATTTTTTATTCAATCATTGGTTTGTAATAATTATTTGTAAATAGATAAGGGTGACTAGTGAAAGGGAGGGTAGTTATATACCACAGGTAAAGATGGGTAGATAACATGCCTATAGGGTTCATTTCGTTCAAATGTGTTTGTTAGATAACATTCCTATAGGGTTCATTTCGTTCAAATGTGTTTGTTAGATAATATGCATATAGGGTTCATTTTGTTCAAATGTGTTTGTTAGATAACATGCCTATATGGTTCATTTTGTTCAAGTGTGTTTGTTAGATAACATGCCTATAGGGGTTTCGCTTTGGTCAAATAAATTTTGCTTCCTTCACCTTATATATAATTAGACATCATGCCTATAGGATTAAATCAGCTTTAAGCATAGAAATCATGCCTATAGGATTTAAAATCAGCCTTAATCATAGAAATCATGCCTATAGGATCTAAACCAGTTTAATTAGAAATCATGCCTATAGGTTCTGAATCAATTAATCAATTATCTTACTCGTTTCTTTAATAGTCCTCAACGTTGTGTTAATTAATTAATAGAAAACATGCCTATAGGATATACGCACTTAGGCAAGCCTTAGGGCGTTAAAATTGAAACCAATTCTGTTTATGTGTGAAATTATCCAGGTTTAACAAGCTGTAAAACCAGTAGGCAAACTGGCTAGGATCCTGCTACTTCCCTAAAAAACAAACGCTGCATGTTCTGTTTTTTTTGTGATATCATGTTCTTAGGATTTCTGAACTTCTTTTGAAAAAGTTGTGTTTTAGACGTGCTGTTTGACTGCCTATATACATGCGGAGGTAAAATGTGAGCCTTCTAAGTGTATGTCTTTATTTGTTTGTCCTATATGTTATTTGCCTGTCGCCTAGACTTTTGCCTTTTTATAAACATTAGGTTGTCTTGAACTGTCCAGATTTAGGGGGTCCCAAATTCCTCCAGGACCATAAGAAAGGGACGGGTAGCAACACGCTTAGAGGTCGTTAATTAAACTCGCTCATATAACCACTAAGGGGTGGGTAATGGGTAGTAAAAAGATATAATGACTGCGCGCTAATGTCACGTGTAGCCCCCCATTGAGGAGTGATTACCGGGCATTGCATGGGTATGATCGTGTAGGCTAATCAACCTAGGACTCCCCTTTCCCAATTCCATATGTGTTTAAATTTAATAAACTTTCTTCTCTTTACATATACATGTTCAAATTGTTCAAATCACTCTCTTGCTCCCATCGCCTGAATCGTACATGTATTTAGAATGTGAAAACATACCTTTATTTGCAAATATGTGTTGAAACTATTTACTTGTTCAAAATGACTGATTCATATAAGTTCGGCTGGGACCCACCGTTGTGGACCGCGAGGGATGCCTAACACCTTCCCCTCAAGGTTATTTCGAGCCCTTACCCTAATCTCTGGTAATGCAACTAGTTACATGAGTTAATTACTTTAGGTGCCCTAACGGACCATAATCTGTTAGGTGGCGACTCTTCAAAACATCAAATTCCCAAAAGGAAACGAGTCGATTTCCCATGAATGTCGAAATTCGGACTTTCTCCGCGAGGAGGAAAAAAGGGGGGGCGACAACGTTCCGAGATATTTTATTGGCGTACTTCTCATGCATTGCATTCATTTATACATGTACATTGACCCATGACTAGACGGCGTTATATACGCGTATATATATGTATATGGGATATGGGAAAAGGTTACGGCGTTATATACGCACCACCACCTGATCAGCTGGTATACGCTAATAATTTTGCCCACAGTGGCCGAGATGATATAATGGGATGCCCTCAGAGGCTTGATGATGTTATGAACACATGTACCTATGCACGACATGGCATTCATACGCATATGCATGACACTATAAGTATCAAATGCTATACAGAGTTATCCAGACTTACAGGTTGAGTCATGTACTCCATGTTTCTTTCATGTCCTTTATATATTGATTTACATGCCTTACATACTCGGTATATTATTCGTACTGACGTCCTTTTGTTGTGGACGCTACATTCATGCCTGCAGGTATAAGTAATCAATTTGATGAGCCCTCATTGTAGACGAGGTTAGCATTCAGCGAAGGATTGGTAAGACTCCACCTCATTCGGAGTGCAGCCGGGTCTATGAGTCATCGTGTCAGAGTTTTGCTTCAGACTTATGGGTAGGACGGTACCCTGTCCCATTTGATGTCAAATAGAGGCTTTGTAGACAGGGGTTCATTTTGTATAGTATGTCAGAGGCCTTGACGGCCCATATGTATTCATGTTTTAAGAAAAATGATTCAGTGATACAGTATTTTCCACTTACAGTTGTACATTACGAGTTATGGCCATGTTGGCCCATGATAGTTGCAGAAGAAAAAAAATAAGTTAGAGTGGTTCGCTCGGGCCAGTACGGCACCGGGTGCCAGCCACGCCTCCCCAGGTTTGGGGCGTGACACTAATATACATAAAAAGTGGATATATTCATAAATTCATATTGCATGATCTTGAAATGCAAGAAAATAAACTCGAAAGTTATGGCCAAGCAATGAGTATTAGTCGCTATGCAGTTTTCAATGGACCCACAAAATTTTAGGCCAATTAGAGTCTGTCAAAAAAATTATACAAAATCAACATATACATAGAGTCGTGCTGCTTGATCCCAAAACACTAAAAAAAAATCCGAAAGTCATGACAAAGTAATAGTACTCGTTACTAGGCCGTTTCTTATGACCTGCGAAATTTTAGGCCAATTGAAGTCTGTAAAAAAAAATCTATAAAATCAGCATGTACTAATACACATGAAAAAATGTATATAATAATAAATTCATGTTGCATAACCTCGAAACGCCATAAAATAAAATCGAATGTCATGGCGAAGCGATAAGTATTGGTCACTAGGTCATTTCTTATGGACCTACAAAATTTCTGGCCAATTGGAGTTCGTCAAAAAAAGTGGATATGATCATAAATTCGTGTTGCATGACCCCAAAATACAAAAAAGTGAACCCGAAAGTCATGGCGAAGATGAGTGTTGGTCACTAGGTCGTTTCCTATGGACAAATGTCAGGCCAATCAGACTCCGTCAAATTTTTTTTACAAAATCAACATGTACTAAGCCATTGATTAGGGACACATGGAGGAAGGAGAGACAAGTAGAGGGGGGACCATGAGCTAACTCCGCCGATTTGGTGAGTTTTCGGGCGAGTTCAATGGCAGTGAAAGGCAGAGAAGTAGGGCGCGTGACTGATTTGGGTCTTTAGGATTATAGTTTGGAGACTATTACGGTTTTATATGGTTAAGGGGAAGAATATGGGCGGTTGGATTAGGAGTGTTTGGATGGCTAAGATTAATTTGAAAATAGGGTGGGTCAAGTGGGTCTAGAGTTGGAACCGATTGGGCTTGTGGGTACCTGAAATTAGGCTTAGAAAGTTCAAATTTGCGCCTAATCCATGTGATTTTAGTATCAAAATTGGCCCTTTTAATTATACAAAAATCATAAGTTCATTAGCCACAATTAATTACTCTTTCTCAAATAAAAAAATAGTATAAATTGATTTAAAATGGATAGTGATGAGGTATTTTTGGGTATTTTCCAACATGAAATTAAAATAAAAGTGGAGAAAAATAGGTTAGTATTAAAGTAACATTAGAATAATATCACTACAAAAATATGAATGACTTTAAATTAAAATGAAAATATATAATAAGATGAGAAATACTATAAAATAAAACTTTTTTTATTTTAAATTTTAAAATACTAAAATAATAAAATAAACTAATCACTTAGTAATATAAATAAACTTTAGGAAAATTGAAACAAACTCAAATAAATAAGTATAAACTACTAAAGTAGCTTAAATGGTCAAAATTATGTGTTTATATACATAGAGAGAGGATTGAGATTGACAAGGGCAAAAAGATATTGAGGAGAATAATGTCAATTACTTAAAGTTAGAGGAGCAGTTTTGATTTTTAAAGTAAAGTTTGGAACGTAAATGACAAATCAAAAAAGAAAAAAGAAAAAGATCACTGAAATTATAAACCCTTATTGCATTCACCCTCAAAAAAACCTCCACTCTCTTCACTCGACTCTCAATCATCCTTTTCACTCTTCAATTTTCACACAAAATCCTATTTTTTTCCTCATTTTTTGCAATCCAAAATCGCAAATTATCCTCACCATGTTTTTGCTTCTGTAGAGTACACTTCGATTGATTCTATTAAGGTTCTTCATCTCTCCTTTATAAAAATGTTTTTTTTTTTTTTTTTGTTTGTTTAGGTCTGAAATACGAAGTGGGTTTTGAATATTAAGGTTCTTCAATTCCGTGGATTTCATACCAATTTTGTCTATGCCATGGAAATTGGAATTTATGTGGTCTATGTAATGCATATAGGAGATTAGTGAAGGCCAAAAGTATACTGGATACCCTGCCTCATATTCATTTCCAGTTGCCTTTTCTAAGATTTATGATCTATGGAATTTGTAAAGAGCTCTTTATGTTGTAAAAGGAAAAACAACTCCATATAATTATTTATCTGCTAATGCTTTTCCTTTATATGTGTAGTAAAATAGCACAAATAGTAGTTTAGTTATAATGTGGCTTTTACCTACTTAAATTTGGTGGAATTAGGTGGTGTGTTGAATAGCTGCCTCTTTTTATTTTATCTTTAAGCTCTTGAACTAATATGTGTTGATATAGCTGTCTACTACTACAACAACAACAACAACAACCCAGTATAAGCCCACGTGTGGGGTCTTGGGAAGGGTAGTGTGTACGCAGACCTTAACCGGGGTAGAGAGACAGTGCCAGCAACCTAAGAATCAAAAAAATAAATGGAAAAGGCAGTATCGATAATCAGTACAATGGAAAGGTACTAGGCAACCGGGGCAGAAAAACAGTACGTACACAAGAAGTACCACTAACAAACTAAAGCAAGACACTAATAAACTATCCTAACATCCTCAACGGGGAAGAAAAACACTCAACTACCTACTAACCTATGACTCTAATGCTCGCCCTCCAAACCTTCCTATCTAAGGTCATGTCCTTCCTAGCTGTCTAATGATTTAATTACTTACTGTCAGAATTAGATCAATATTAGATAGGTTACTTCGATGTTTTTGTTCTTGAATCATAAGTTTTTCAATTGGCTATGATTCCCAGTAGATTGTGACCATAAATATATTCCAGGCGTTAGTATACCGAATACTGGGTGTGCTTAATAGGAAGCATGAGCGCCAAACTTGAGCAGGCATCTAACCGCATTCAGACGGCTGCTTCATCTGCAACATCATTGAGCAGCCCAAAGATCTCTATGTTTGCTAATAAAACTGGATTTGTCATACCAAAAAACAAGTTAGCAGGTTCATTGGTTCCGGTATTTCGAGGAGGGAAAAAAGGAGGTAGTGATTCTGTAAATGAAGAGAGCACGAAACAGGTGCAAAGGAAAACCAAGTGGGGCCCTGATCTTACGCAAGATACTACTGTCAGAAAAGCAAGAGCCTTGGCATATCAGGTGCTTTAGAATGCTTTGAAATATATATGTAGTTACACTTTTTATTGTTTTTTACATTCCTTTTAGTCTTTCTAGCATCAGAAAGAAATAACCTTTATATTCCTCATCAAAGAATATAAACTGCCATTAATTCAAACTCAGCATTGTAGGGACGTGTCAAAATTACACTTTTTTCGTGCTCCTTCAGTCTATGTAGCACAAGTTTCCCATATAGATACAAAAGAATCATACTTCATCAAAAAAAAAGATACGAAAGAATCATGACATTGTCATGCCTTTTCCTATGAAATCCACAACATGGGCAAAGGGTACTGACTGCCATAAAACCTCACTTTTACTATGTTATGGAATATGCATAAGTGCACACTTACAGTACGTGAATAAATCTGTACATATAATTTGTGATGAAGAAGTGTGTACATATTATTCTCAAAGTGTATACATATTATGTTACATTGATCAATTCAAAACAGTAGATACAACACACACATATTTATGCGACATGAGGATCATCCTAGATTTGGAGTTGATGGTTGTTCCTGTTCTTCTCAAGTGGATTGTTTCTTGAAGAACTTTGTATTTCTATTGAGTATTGACTCCAGCATCCCAATAACCCCTCCCAACAACCACCACACACACAAAAAAAAATGTTTTGCAGGCATTTAAGGCCCCAATTTTATGGGAAGGAGTTTTATTTCTTGGTGGCAATTAAAGACTTCCCTTTGTTCATTGGTCCTAGGAGTCAGTGCATTCTTTGTGAATGGCTTTTATGAATTCCTACTCCAGGTGCCACTAAGTGATATTGCTGCCTTGTAATGGTACAAATTTTGGGCAGAGTCGGGTGGATCAAATAACACAGCTACTGAGTTCTAGGACTTTGGAGGGTGAAGGCAGCAAGGACGCACTGTCAGCCTCCCCTGCTAAAGAGCATGACTCTTCGGACCATCAACCTAATGATGAGGTAAAATAATTTATAAGATTTTTTAGTTGCAAATTTTGCTTGGGTTAGCTTCAAAAGCTGATGTCTTCTGTGGATGTAGAGTGTGAGTTCACTGGAACTTGAAAGACGGGAAGCCATTGGTATGTTGTGATTGATCCCTTGAGTCACTGGCTTTTACTCTTCCATTATCAAGTATTACCATACAAATTACCTGTTTTTATACATTTTCAGGGGAGATTCTAAAACTGAATCCCAGCTATAAGCCACCTGCTGGTTATAAGCCTGTACCCAAGGAGGCAAAGATCCCATTACCTGTAAGTTCAATGCAGTTTCTGGCACTTTGTTTTTTTCTTTTTCTTTTCTCCTTGTAGTAGCTTCCATTTTGGGTTCTGTGAGTTGATTCTTAATTTTTCGATAAGGATCATCTGTATTTTATTGGACTCCACTTCTTGGCTTAAAATTACTACTCTAGTAACTACTACTAAAATCTTATAAGATTTGAAAATGCATTAATATCAATACGCATGATTGGTTGCCTTGCAAAACAAGAAAAACTATGCACTGTGGGTGATTAATGGAGAAATTGTTGTCCGTCACCTTGCACCAACTCTTGCTTCCACAACAAAAAGGAGCAGCTTAAATATGAAACGGAAGATGTACACCTTTTTAATTGACCTATCTTTTATTCTATACTGATTGCCAAGAGTTAAGCTTTATTGATATATTAACTTATTCTAAGGTCAAGCTGTATGATACAAGTATGGGAATTTGAAAGCATATTAATCAAGAGACATGAAATTAGATTCCTGTAAGACTAAGCATAATTCTCATTAAAGGTGAAGTGGTAGATCTTCATGAGGCATCTCTCTACATGTTTTCAATGCAGATCAAAGAACATCCTGGGTACAATTTTATAGGTTTGATTTTTGGCCCTGCTCATAAGCAACTGGAAAAGGTAATTAATTTCTAGCATCCAAGACCTTGAAGTTTTACTTATTGAGTAGATCGCATAGTAGTCGAGAGTTCCTGGTCAACATTGAGTATTTTCTGTTTACTGAAAACCAGGAAACTGGAGCTCAAGTAAAGGTTTATGGTACCAAAGCAGATACTGGAGAGAAGGTAACGCCCCCAATTCAGTCCGTCATTTATATTTTTAACTAGGTAATTCTTCAAATAAATGTTTAGATGGGCATTTGAACACCACTTAACAGGAGCTTTATAAAATCTATGTTCTACTGCTCCCAGTATGCAATCTATCGTCGTGTTTGGACTATCAAGTCTCATATACGAACGGCAACAGCATGTTCCTATTATTCAACTTTATATCTTGAAAATTAACCTCTGTGTTACATCTGTCCCAGATAGAAGCTACTTCTGGTGAAAATGACTCTGGTGCTTATGAGGAAATGTATGTCCAAGTATCAGCAGAGACATATGAAAAGGTTGACGCTGCAGTTGCTTTAATTGAACTTCTGGTTACCCCAGCTTCAGTAAGTAAATAGTAGTATGTTGTGTTTTACTCGGTATTATTGTCAATGTCAGTGTGGCAATTCAGTTTTTTTCCTTTTTCCGTGCAATAACGTTTTTCTTGAAACTTCGTTTTGGTTGTGTCATAAAGTTAAGTGTTCCATTTGGCTCTCAGGTGACTCCAGCGTCGACTACCACAAAAACGTCAGGTGACGGAGAAACTATTTCCGGTGAAGCAACACCTGGCCCAACGACTCCTCCTGTAGTAAATCAAGGGGTGGCTCAACCAGTTGTGGGGACACAACCTGCTCAATTACAAGGTCATTTTCAGCCATATCAAGGACAATGGTTTCCTGGACCTGCATCTCAGAATCCAGTAACTCCATTTCCAGGACCCATTAACTCCTGGAGTTCTTCAGCATCCCTGGTCAGCAACCCTCACCAAGTATCTCCATCACCTACCAACCCGCCAAATGCACCGTCACCCTTTGGCCCGCCACAGGGTATGGCAGATGGATTTGGTTCAGTTCCGCGAAACCTTTTTTGTAACTCTAGCCCTCAGGCACCACCACTAATGCGGCAGCCTTTCATGCCTTCCACTCATCTCGGACAAATTGGTGGACCTAGACATCCGATGCCATCTTTAGGGTCCACACCATCTCAATCCAATATGACTCCACCTCAATTTTCTCAGAGCCAACCGAATCCAACAGGGTTTCCACAGGGGTTGAGATCTGTTATGTCTTCCACGCCTCAGTCTATCCCTCCTATAGCATACTCAGACCGGCCATTGACCCCAGGCGGGAGCTCTCCTGGATGGTCACAGTCACCATGGAACACCCAGACGGGTCAAGGAAGTCATCATCTTTCTTCACGACCAATGGGTGTCTCTACGGGTCCGCATATAAATGTTTTGCATGGCCATAATTTAGCACCCCAGTCATCTGGACCAGCTCCATCTACTAATTCTGTTTTTCAATCTCAAACACGTATGCCTCCTCCAATGCATCCATCTTCAGGATCTACGCCTGCTCATTTCTTGAACCACCCTGTATCTAGCGGACAACCAGTCATGCATAATCTCTCACCTAATCCAACTCCTGGAAGTTCTCTTAATATTAATTCTATGAGACCTCCTTCCTCTGGAGCTCCAAAACCACTGCAGACCAGTATTGATTTTACATTCCAGCCTCACCATCCACAGAATCCAGCCTCTCAAGTTGTTTCCAGGCCAGCTGGTCAATTTGGTTCTCAGGAATTTTCACCTCCAAGCCAGATGATGCGCCCTTATCTACGACCAGCAATAGACAGTACAAATCCCCCACCTGTTAATCAAGGATTCCCAAGACCTCTATTAAGCAATCAGATTAATCAGCCAGGACCACACATGTCACCTGATTTCACTCGAGGACCTGCTGGCCCTCTCCCTCAATTTAGGCACCCGCCATTTTCAAATCAGGGTATAGCTTCACCTACTGGGCCACAAATGCAACCTCTGAACTTTAGGCCAGCTCCGAATCCTGTAGGTTCTTTCCCTCCTAGAGTAGGAAACCCCATGCCTCTTCAGCAAAATAATCCAACTGCCATGCTTCGACCACAAAATTTTGAGGCTCCCAACAATGTCTTCTTTCGACACAGTAGGCCTGCCTCCAGCTCCTCTGGAGCACATCAAATATATGACCCCTTCTCGCCCACTTCTGTCCCTCGGCGTCCTCCTCCTGGTGGTAATCCGGCAATGGTAGAAAAACAAGAGAGTGATCCTGAATATGAAGACTTGATGGCCTCTGTTGGAGTTAAATGATTCAAGCCGCAAGTTGTTCTTTGATCTTCGAGTTGATCGCCTACCCCCCCCCCCCCTTTCCCCCGCTCCTGCTTTAAGCAAAATTCTATGTTGTCCATGTATCGCTGATAATGCTTAATATGCAATTCGCTTTACTGGAGGTCATAGAGACTGTAACCAACCCCTCCAATTTTCCTTCCTTGTATTGCAGAAAATGCTTTCTGATAGATATATTTTACATGAGAAGTAATGTGTTTAGGAAACACCGCTATAAATGATGCATATCCTTACTTGCTTGGTGCCTGCTTGTTGAAGGAATTTGGGTGGATGGGGAATGGTGTACTAGCACAGTAGTACCTATTTTGCAGAGATTACAGCGCATGGATTGTTTATGCGGTGAATAATAATGTAGAATTATTTTTGCAGGGAACAATAATGCAATGATTGTTATGTGGTGAGTATTAATACATGGATTGATATAGGAATGTAGGATTCCCTAGAAATGCAGCGTAAAACTGCGTACAATCGACCCTTGTGGTCCGGCCCTTTCCCGGACCCCGCGCATAGCGTGAGATTAGTGCACTGGGCTGTCTTTTTTTTTTTTTACTCTCTACTCTTATCCTCGTAATGCTAATACATATTCTAATCGCTTATTCTGCCTTGTATAAAATAATACTTATTTCTCATATAACATATACCAGAATTAGTATTACACGTTTGGTTTATGGTATATAACTTCCCCAAAAACCAAATGGTGTATTAATCATATGGGGATTATGTTATTTATGCAGAATAACTAAGTATTGTATTCTATACTTTGTTGCATACTATTCGATGCCTTAAATTGTTGATGGTTAGTTAGTGAAAGTCAATGGACAATAGACCTGCCCCTTTATCCTTATCCACTTAAATACCAAAATTTTGTTTATGATTAGATTCGAACTCGTTACATGTGTCTAACATGCATATCATACGCTGCTCGCTTATCATTGCATTGAAGCCATGGCCGGCCCGGGGTTGGGGGGGGAGGGGGGGGGTAAAGGGGGCTTAACCGTTTTTAGTCACGTTACCACC